TCCTCTCTTTTCTTTCTTTTCCGTCAAGCATGCTGTAGCGACGATATCCGCAAGAACTTATTTCCGTGCATAAGATATCTTTCTCTTAGTGGCTGATTCTTTCACACATAGGTGTATCACCCACATAATTCATTTTCTTTTGCATGCATACTCGTGTTTTTTCTCTCTTTTGACTCGGTTATATAAGAAACAAAATATAAAATATCGCCTTATTGAAATTCGTTCCTTACACTCGTCATTTACTTGTGAATAATATTGCTTCCATTGCTTTTAGTCTAACTAGGAACAGTGTCTAAAAATTTATTATATTAATTGGAACTATAACTAATTACTAATGGCACTATATTCGTACTAAAAAAACAACTTCAAGGTTGAGTATTTGTCTTTTATGCTGTTTTATTAAAAAAAACTTTGCCATTATTAATGTTGATCGATTGGTTAATTGATAGGTAATTTTTATGGCTTATCAACACTTCGTGGTTTATTTAAAGCCGAAACATATTTTGGGGGATTGTAAGAATATTTCTTCTTTTTTGTATAACAGTTTTTTTGAGAATAACAGTGATTTTTCCAGATGCAAGTTCTAATCTATAAGGGGGAAAAGGGATTCATGTCTTTCCCAAAGGTATATGGGCTTGAATTAATGTAATGAACCTAACTGAAATTTGAACTCGGCTCTCTGATGGAAATAGAGATTGATTCGAACCCATGCTGGCATAATAACAAACTACTTTATTTGTCTATATCTCTGAGATGAGGTATTATGATTATTTATGTTATTTACATTATTCGGACTGTTATCTTCATCTTCATTGCCATATTCTCAACGTTTCGGCTGTTGTACGCCCCGGTCTTCTTCGGGTGATTGGAATTTCGAACCGAATCCTTTATTAGGTCCACCGGGGTAGACTGTTCTAGTTCCACGTGCCATGTCTCTTCCGGATGTCTCAGTTATTTCCCTTTTACTCAACACTCTGTTTTTTTTTTTTTTTGTTTTGTTTTGTTTTTTATGGTGAACCAAACTTGGAGAGTTGAGTTAAAGGGAAATAACTGAGACATTCGGAAGAGGCATGGCACGTGGAATTAGAACAATATACCCGATGAACGAACTAAAGGGTTCGGCTCGAGATTCCAATCACCTTAAGAAGGCCGAAGCGTACAATGGCCGTAAAGTTTTGAATATGGCAGTGAAGATGAGGATAACAGTCCGAATAACGTAAATAATGTAAATAACAAGCTATATCTTAGAACCTCACATTTATTTCATTTTAGATTTTTTTTTTCTGGGTGAGTAGCATTTAACACTCTGGCGAATTATTTTTTTTTGTAAACGTGTCTCTAAGCTTTGTACAATGTATATGGCTTATTGCCTCACCAAGTCTAAATCTGACTTTTTTTCTTTTCTGTTTTATTACGTCCCAGCCGTGTTCTCCTCGCCTCTGAATTAAACTAACCCAATAATAATAATAATAATAATAATAATGATAATAATAATAATAATATTCTTATCTATCAAAATTCAGTTAGGAATTAAAAGAAAAAGAAAAAAAAGGGAATCCTAAAATAAATCTAGTGTTTTTGACGTGTTCTAGTTTGTTTCTTTGTTAGTTTAAATTTACATCGCTCTTAAAAGCTGAGTGGGCATGCGCGCGTTTGTGTGTAAACCCCATTCCATTATCCATGGAGGCGACGATGAAGAGGAGTTAAGCGAATGTTAAAAGTTAAGACAGAAAGTGGAGGGAAATAATCTGCATGACAGCGTGCGGGAAGAAAGGAGGAGGAAAAGCGTATAATGGCGGGATTTAGCGATAATAGTTTTTTCTTTTATTATTGTAATTTCAAATAAAAACTAAACAAAACTGAGAGATAGCATATAAGAAGAGGATATTCTAATTCAGCTATGTCTAAATATCTACATGACCACAACGGTAATTGAGGCGGATTACCTATGCACGTGTCCCTTTTTAGCATCAAGGTTTCAAGTTTCTTCATATATTTTTCTATTTTCTGCTATTAAAAATCGTTTTCAGTTGTCATTCATTCGAACGACGTGTCTATTAAAAGCTCTCATTTACGATGAGTTAACCAACAGCCGTTGTTTTCAAGGAGGCCAGGATAAGCGGTAATAAAGGGACATCTTGAAGTTCAACCTCAAAGCAGGCGACATTCTCACTGACACCTGAAAGATGCAGAGCGCTAAATCGCTCAGACTGGTGAAAGATCTCTAAGATGCTTTGAACGTCGCCACATTGACCAGCTTTAGCGCGGAAGAAGCCGTTACACTAACATTTTATCAACCTCAAACAAGTGACAACTTCGTCTGCACAGGATAGGACTGGTCATCCGCCATCTTTGCCTTCATCATTGAATTTGAAGGAGAGAGAAAGAGAGAAAGAAAGAAAGAGAGAAAGAAAATCTGATGGCTTAACCCATCATTCAAAATTGTGTATGCTCGTGCGCCCGTGTGCGCTGTACGTGCGTGTTCTCCGAGAAGGACGGATAAGGTGGTGCAGGAGTGAAGTTTCAAATATTAGTCAATTAAAAACGGTAGAGAAACACGTGTTTGGCTTTCTCGAGGAAAGGAAAACAAAAAAGTAAAAAGAGTCCAATGAGAATTAATATTTGTGATACGAGCACTCGTCAACCTAAAAATGCGGAATACATTTAGAATACAAATAGAAGCGTTAATTTTGTTGGGATTTACTAAAAAATTAGCTTTATTCTTTCACAAAACACCCAAATATTGACACCCGATAACGATTGAACTTTCTGCGCTAACAACATTGTGCGAGTCTAGTTTTTTTACCCAAGGTATTTGGCCACGTGCGAGTAGCGAGGAAAGCGAAATCAACGAGCCAGGTTCAAGTTCTATCCTAATTTCTTCGCACTGACGACCTTGGTAAAGGCATGAATTGATTTGTTCTCTCCACCTCACCAGCTATAAATAGCAAGATACACTACTTTTCGAGCTTTGAGTGGCAACCAGCCTAAGCAACAATGAAGTCTAAACCGCTGTGAAGGCAACAGGAAACCATTCCATTATGGTAATTCATAGATCATAACGAAAAGAAATCTCTGCAGAGTCCTTATACCCTACGACTTGAAGGGACATAGTAGTTGAAAAAAAAAAAGAAAGAAAGAAGTTTGCACTACCCATTACAGGAAGTGTCATTGTTAGCAATAAATCGACGAGCCGAGTTCCAACATCAGTCGAGTTTGTTACACTCACTCTCACGCAAATACGCTTGGGAAATGTATGAATCTATCTCTTCTGTCAATCATAAGTAAGTAGCAGGACAAACTGGGCTCTCTTGCCATGGTTGGCAACTAGGAGAAGAATAAATGAATTCAAATTCATATGTAGCCGTTGTGAAGCGCATGCTTAAAGTGTATGTAAGGTCCAACATTGTTGCAATATAAATCACTATTTGGCTTTGTGTGTGTTGAAGAAACAAAATGGGCTTGAGCTTCAAGTCGAAAAAGCACTGAGGATGATGATGCATATTTTTATTTACTAATCTTAGTACGGTCTGGCACAAGGCCATAAATGTGGTGACTTTTTTTTTTCAGTGGTGAGGAACGCCTTTTTTTTTTTAAATAGCTATTTAAGAAGTTTGACACAACAACACAGTTGTGGTGCATTCAATATAGTTCGAAATCACTACACTGGAAAATTGATTTGAGAGATAATGTTGCAGCTACCGTGGTACCGTAGGCGCCAGAGTCATTAACATAGTGTTTATTTCGGTTATTTTACGTCAGCCATGATATCATATAATGTCTTGTACCGAGGCGCTGCAAGGGAAATATTAATCTGGAAGGAATAATCGATAAATATTTATTAGAGAGGTCAGTTTATTGATCCTGGAACATTATATATATATATATATATATATATATATATATCATTTTAACAGATATATTTACCAAAATTACACAAAAATATCTTGAAATACTAAGAATGAATTTATTCAATAAAATCGCCATTGGCTTCAACCACGGCCTCTAGATGACTTCGGAATCCCCTGCAACTCTTCTAGACGTTCTTCTTGTTTAAGTTGGTGAATGCTGCCATAATTCTTGCCTGCAGTTCATCTTTGGTGTTACAAGTTTTGTTAGTCTCTCGCTCAACTGCACCCCCACACATAATAAACAAGGGGGTTACAGTCTGAGGTGTCAGGTGGCTAGATGGGTGATGTTGTCGCAGAAATAGTCTAACATCCCTGACTGAGTTCTCCTGCTTGTATGGCATGGTGTAAAGTCTTATTGCCAGACATAATGTTTTCCAGCAGCCACCCTCTTGACCCAGGGCAGTACTACTTCCTCAAGACACTTGATGTAGGCCTCCGTGTTGAGCCTGAGGACCTTACCAACAAATTCAGGAGTTCTTTTCTTATCAGAATGATCAAAGTATTCCGAGCTTCTGTGCCTCCGTAATCACCATCAAACTCACCCAACTCTTTCCAGATCTTCTGCGTTGTCCTCAGATTGACACCCAAATACTTTGAAATGTTCGTATTGGCGATTCCTGCGCGAATGTCAAGCAGAACAATATGCCGTTTCCAAATTTCTGGTGGAGTGAATTGCGTCATGGTACTCTTTTTTCCCACAGACGGTGCCCAACTGACCCTACTATATTGCGCAGTTGACAACTTCAAAAAACACAACACGCATGCGTGAAATTAAAAATATAAAATGGCAACAATTTACCCATCGCACCTTGTGTATATATAGATAGATGGATGGAATCATTCATTGAGAACGATGGTTGAGGGTTCAGTAAAGTCTGGGTTTGTTTTTACTGAACAACCTGCACGATTGAATTGCTTAAAATAGTCAATTGTAATGCGCACTCTCTTCATCATAGCGCCATCTGTCATGTGTGCCACATGTCAGATGGCGCTACAATCGCAGGCATTTTTTTTTTTAGTTGGGTAGAAGTCTTCCGTCGCCTAGCTGCATGCTAGCCGTTGGCTTCTATAAGAAGATCATCCACCCTGTGCGTCCATATCTCAACGAAACTCCGGTTCTCGTCTGATCAAGAAATTAAGCAAAATGGAGCCTGGTCAGTACCTGGATGGGTGACCGCTTAGGAATACCAAGTGCTGTAAGCTTGGATATGTGGTTGGTATAATATGTAACGTTTCGGAATGAGGAAATCGAGAAACTGAGTTCGAATTCCGGTCGAGTTCGTTGCATTTACTTACATACAAATACCCTGAGAAAAGGTGTGAATCCATCTCTTCTCCACTACTCAGATATAGACAGGACAGATTGGGCTCTATTGCATTAAATGGCAACCAGTCTCCAGTCTAGGAGAAGGAAAACTCTGAATCAAAACCAGCGTGTGTGTGTGAGTGAGTGAGTGAGTGAGTGAGTGAGTGAGTGAGTGAGTGAGTGAGAGAGAGAGTGAGAGAGAGAGAGAGATTTTGGGTGAGATTTGAATAATTTCACATAATAATTCATCGAGTCTGGAACAAGAATCCAGAATGCAAGAAAGCACTGGACGGCCGTTACGTCCTTTTTTGGGACACATCAGCAGTGCTCATCCACTACCGAGAATCGAACCCAGACCGTTCCGATACAACGCAAGCATTCATACCACTGGGTCATCGGGTAACGAAGCTACTTCTAATTTCAGTGGTGATACATATCCAGTATGCATAACTCATCGGAACCGGCCCCAAGAGCAACGTCTTTCACCAAGCCGCTCCATTCAGAGCATTAAACCTGCATCAAGCATCATTTTTTCGATTCTTGGTAGTGGATGCGCACTGCTGATGAGTACCAAAAAAAGGACGAAATGGCCGTCCAGTGCTTTCTGAGGATTCTTATTCTAGAGTCGATGAAATTATTATATGATATATATATATATATATATATATATATATATATATATATATATATATATATATATATATATATAATTGTGCATTGGGAAACAGTCTCTCTCTAGTATAAGTTTCGTTAAAAACGACTGACAAGATACTGTGATTCAGTTTTTTTTATTTATTTTTTTCTTGTGCTCTTCTGGGGTTTTTTTTTTGGGGGGGGTGCACTTAATTTCTTCTTCGGTTCGGACCACTTTTCTGATTTCCGGAGAGAATTTGAATATGAATGGTTCAATATCTTCTGAATGAGTTGGGTTTTCGTAATCCATTATCAAATAATTTGTGTGGGTTGATAAGGTTGATGTCCATCGGTATGGATTATATTTCTTTTCTGGTTTTCAAATCTTAGATTTTCGCATGTCAGATTTTCGCATGTCGGTTTTTTCAAAGTATCGCGTCTTCACGCATCATTTTTTAATGTCTTGTTTTTATATACGTGGAGACATGGAATTATGAAAAAAATTGTAGCAAAATTACTGACTTTCGTGGTGGAATTTGTGTGAAGCCTGACGTTCTCTTAAAATAAAATCCTATAATTAAACAAGATTTTATTTTATATTCGTGAGGCGAGTAAACAATTATGGGATCGTTCTTGTAGTTATGGTAAACGTTTATCTTTAAATCGGTATCAGTTCGAATGAATAAAATATCAAGAAAAGTAAGGTGGTATAATTTTCTTTTTCTTAAATGTAAATTCATTTGTAGATTCAGCTTTGTTTAGGTCATTTATGAGATAAGTAATTTAGTGAGATTTAGTTTTGTGCTATTATATTAGTAATGGCAATGGTAATGGTGAGATTTTCCGTTTCCTTATAAGGAAACATTCGACAATCATTGGTCGAACAGTTAGCATTACCATCGATTGAAATTTTTTAAAAAATTATATAAAAAAAGTTTTTCAGGAAAATAGGTTTACCAAGTTCACTAACCTTTATCGCTCTTTTAAGGATTGGTTGGTTTTCCTTAACCTTTTATTTGAAGCGATGTAGAAAGTCAACATCCGTACGCTTAGCTATCACTCAGTATTGTTAGAATTCAAACATTAATAATGATTAAAACAACCGAATCATTCATTGATAGATCGACGCCCATTCCTAGTTTCAATTTCTATACATTGTTAACTGTTAATTGTTTGGTTCGATGTTGTTCTTGGTTGGTTTTTTTATTTGATAGCCTTGGTATTAGTTAGTCACGATTAATATAGTAATTTAGTTATATTTTCACAACAAAGTGTTTATATATAAAGAAGAGTGTAATTTGACTTTCTACGGGCGTATCTTTTCATAATAAACATTTGAAATGTTTGTAGAAATAGGCGTGTGTCTGATAGAGAGAAAATTCATACATTTTCGTAAATGCCATTACTTACAGTTTGCTGGAGTAAAAGAAGTACATGTGTGTTGACATTAAGATTCAGTTATTGGTAAATATTTTGATCTTTAGCCGCTCCACTTCTTTTTGGGTAATGAAGGTCGTTTGTCTCAAATTTGTGTAGACGAGCTAAGATTTTTACTTGACTGACTACAACCTGATGTAAAGTCTGATATCTATCTTGATAGATTTTGAATTAGCTCAAATCAACAGAGATTTGTTGAAAATTCTCTTTTTATATCCTGTGATACGTTTTCTATTACGTTTGTAAGCTTAGAATGTTGTTCTAGATATTATTTTGCCCATTTTTTCGAGCATGTCATTTCGATATATATATATATATATATATATATATATATATATATATATATATATATATATATACCAGTGGCTACTCCGGTATTCGGTCTTGTCGATCCTTGACCGACTGAATCAGCAAAATCTTTCGTATTGCGTCGTTTTTCATTTTTGCCTTTAGTTGTAACCAAAATTAATTGTTTTAACTCCGTGCCTCAAAATATTGGCCGAAATACATTTCGTTGATATTGTTCATAATAAAGAAGGAAGAAAGAAGTAAAAAAAAAAAAAAAAAAAAAATAGAATGAAATAAAATTAACGTGGATAGATCGAGCTGTGTAGATATGAGCCTTTTCAAACTGGTGACATATTTAATAGGCATGTATTTCTTGCTTTAATTTTATAAATAATCTTTTTAAAATCTTTAATGAATTGTATACCCTGTTTTTCAAAGAAAACATTTTTATTTCAACTTATTGTTTTCAAATGTCCATTTTAGATAATTTATTCCGTACAGTATAAGTTTTTTGTAGTTGGAATGTATCACTTGAAAAGTCGGGCAAATGAAATTTAGTCCGACTTAAAGTCGGCGATGATTAAAGAAAGTGGCAGTCGACTGTAGGGTTGGGGTAAGGAGGGTGACTTGGTTAGTGTTGAGGAAGCATCAGTCAGCAGTAGTGATCATAAACGTACAAAAAATTAAACTAAATATCCACACACAGACACACACTAACGCATAGACATATCCACAAACACTCGAGATAAATACATGTTATTTTTGTTTACATGCCTGGAATTTAAAAAAAAATAAATGTTTATTTTTATAGAATTATTACAATTAATATCAAAATAAAGTCTGTTTTTTTTTTTTTTTTTTTTTTAATTTCATGCACAGAGATATATTTTGGAATTATTTTAGTATCTAAGTTATACCAATAGCATATTTTGTTAAAGATTGTAATGAGCCTGGCAAGCATTGATGACCTAGAGTCACTACTGATATATAACCAACAAATAGGAAGCGTTTATGAAACAAACAGGTTTTAAAAAGTAAAACATGTTAGAGATTGAATAACGTTTCTTATTTGTTCTTTATCTTATCATTCTGTCGGATTCAAATCCATATTTGATCTATATTTGATCTATATTTGATCTTTGTGTGTGTGTGTGTGTGTGTATTGATAAAATAGGAAAGGACTGTTGGGTTGATGATCCGAAGTTCTTTAGTATTTTTGTTTTTATTTTTAAAAACGGTTCTCGATACAGAAGTAGAGCCTAGATTATTTTAAAAAAAAGATCCCATCGCGACACAGAAATTACTATGTTTCGAAACTGGTCAGCATTATTCATTATTCATTATTAATATTTCAATATTAAACCCTACCTACCGGGTATCAGTCTCGTCCCCAGGCTATGATTGAGGATGAGACTCCCGGTTTAACTTGGTTGTTCTTTTATAAAAAGGCTACGCTGGCGAGTTGCTTAAACACTGCAAACTACAATACAGAAACAAGTCTTTCTTTTTCTTTTCTCCTCGTGTAGTTATCTCATCATTTGTCGCTAATACCGCTTACATTTGTAAATGGCAAATTACAGAAATGGAACATCTCTGTGCGGTTACTCACATTCATCTTCTTTATGCGCTGTGAACTTTCATGACGTAGGCGGTCATGGCTCTCCACAATGTTCTGTCCTTCGTGGATCTTTATAAATTTTGTTTTTTTTATTTTTCCTGAACCTTGTTCCGCCATACATTTTTTTTTGCATTCAAGCTCACGTAAGTTGGGCGTTGTTTTCCTCTGTTCCGCTTGCTTTTAATCTGTTCTGTGAGTATCAGATTTTACAAACCCTCTTTCCTCATTATTTGCCCCTTTGTGTTTCCATTTTCTCTAAAACTTCGTCGTTGCTCACATATTCAGTGGTATCTTCAGCATCCTTCTGTAGAACTACATTTCTGTTGCTTCAAGTGTCGCACTTTAGATTCTCTGTTAAAACACTTCCCAGATATTTAAATTTTTGTACTTGTTTGATTTTTGCATCTCCAATTTGTAATTTATATTTTAGGCTTATCCTTTTGCTAACAACCATGTATTCTCTCTCCTTGCAGTTTATATTTAATCCTTTCATCTCGCTTTCCTTCACTACCTTCTGTAGGAGGTTTTGTAGTTTGCTTTCCGTGTCTGCTATCAACACGGTATCATCTGCATATCTTATGTTGTTAAAATTGTGACCGCCAATAATGGTAGGATTTCTAATTCATCAATAATCTAGAAACCGGGGGTGAGTTCTTGGTTTAATCAAATGTCTTTCTCTTCTGTCGGTGACATTGAATATCAACATACAGTGTAACCCGGATATAAGAGACCCAGATATAAGAGAAACCCGGATATAAAAGAGATTTTCTCTGGTTCCAAATTAGAGCCTGTGTTAATGTATATAAAATAGACCAAACCCGGATATAAGAGAAACCCGGATATAAGAGACTTCTTCTCCGGTCCCGACAACTCTCTTATATCCGGGTTACACTGTACAATATTTTTCTTTTCATCAGTA